CAGTGAGATACGTTTCTTCGTAGCTTAGTTAACTCCTGGTTCCACCAGGGCTTTGCTTTTAGCCCTTCTTTTAGTTGTGGAATAGCTTTATCTGCGGCTTGTTGGATTACTAGCGTAATGGAAAGTGCATTAGTAGTAGAGAAAACTAGATAAGCCATTATTGATTTTCGTACAAAAGCCGGCATGCTTCGCTATCTCGGAAGTAAAGAACGGACATGGTCGGGGAGACGACATCACAACGGACGATTCTGTTGTCCTTTGTTGAACCTCACCGACAGAGCATTCGTAATTCTCAAGACTATGGAGTCATAGAAAGTCAACAACGGGAAAGGAGCAGTTAGTCAGATCAGCTTAAGTTTCAGACATGATTCGTATTTGGCTAGCGTGCGTGCTCTTAATTATGTAAGCGGGACTTTCGGAACCATTTCGGAACCATATTTCGCTCGCCAAGTCACGTGCGAATATTATCTTGAGCAACTAATTTCTCTAACGTCGGTCTTCGGACGTGCATTTCTCCCCGTTCTTCACCCGCATCTACCCGGACATATGAGTTGTGTCCCTAACCAAAGCCTTCTCGGTACTTGAGGACCAAAAATCACTTCCGTGTGCATAGTTGCGCGTTGCAGAATTCCTGTCAGGCGAGCCAGTGAAAGCAGTCTAACCGAATGGAGCCTGAAATAACGGAGACAAGTGAGGACCAGACTGTCGAACCACAGAAGCGGACGCGTATAACCAAGGCATGTGATGTCTGCTACAACAAGAAGGTCAGAAGCTCTCGCCCATAGCCGACAACGTTGTGGCTGCTCCTGTCCATTGTCTAACATCGATGTTGAGCTCTGCAGATTAAATGCGATGGAGCCACTCCACAGTGCGAATGGTGTGCTCATCGTGGCTTGCAGTGTTCGTACGAAAGGAGGATCGTGAGGAAGAGGCGTTCTAAGTATGCGAAACAGCTATTCGCGTTTTTTGTGCTGTTCAGCTCACCTTTTCCAGTAGACAGCATCGCAGCCACCTACTAGACCGAGTCGATCGACTGGAACGACTCCTGGCCAACGCACTAGCAGAAAAGACAGGTACATCTCTACCCCGTGAGACCTCAATAGGTCCTTCAGAGTCAGCAACAGATACTTCACTCACTAGAGAGGATGACTTTAACAATGAAGCACCCGATATTTCAACGCCGTCGTCCACTGACCAGCCAGTCCTGGGCTCTCTCCACTTTGCAGGTTGGCGGCTAGGTTCTTTTAACTCAAGGAGCGGCATTCCGGTGTTTTCGGAGCTTGGGGAAAATTGGATCCGCTCGCGTACAGGGCAAGATGCGTCCCTTGAGCGAATTACCGCACTTCGCCAGTCCTGGCATAATATGGCCCGCTCAGACTGGGGGTTATCGGTTGATGTAGTAAATGTGCATTTGCCGATTGCAATGCCGGATCGGCAAGTCGTCGAGAAGTGTTTAGCCCTATACTGCGAGTCGTTCCTCTGCTGTATCTTCCCCGTTGTTGACCCTGTTCGACTTCAGACTACAATTTCTGCGGCCTACTCATCAACATCAGGCGCTTCGTCCGATGACATACACAATGCACAGGCTTGTGTATTTGCTTTTTTGGCATTTGTGTCATTCTTCAACGTTTACCAATCGGTAAACATAACCTCAGATGCGGAGAAATACTCGTGGACGGCGCATCGAATATTGATGACATACACTCGACCAGTGACGGCGGAAACATTGCAGACATCGTGTATGCTGGTATGTATCAATACCCTTCGAGGTCATCGCGTCGTACATTGGCTGAATATTAGTTAAGATGTTGTACCATCTCTTTTCTGGGGACCTTGCCAATGCTCTTATCCAAGATTCGGTGGCTACCCGAATAGTATACATGCTCGGGGCACATACCACGACCTATCCTTCGTGTAATGATGTGAAAATTGTATCCGCAAATTCTTCATATCGCGAGCGATATCTACTGCGGAACATTTTCTGGTTGATTTACATGATGGATAAAGAGTTATCACTGCGAACGGGACAGCCGCCGTGTCTGCAAGATGAGCATTGTGATATTAGTTTTCCACCAACCTACGCTCGGCGGATCTTTTCGCAAATGATGGGCTTTGGGACAGAAACGGATCTCGGCACTGTATACCCCTTCCCTGGTTCCCCGGAGTTGAGCATCATCAAATCGAAGGCCTACAACGCTCTATACTCTGCTCGCGCATTGAGGAAAACGGATGCGGAGATCTTGAGAGACATTCGTGAGCTAGACGATGACCTTGAATGTTGGAGGCTATCTGTCCCCCTATCATACAGACCCACTGTTGCATTTGCGCGCGCGACACTACCAGAGGATGTGTTGGTTATGCCTTCGACAATGCTGCATCTAGACTATAACCATTGCGTTGCTGCTATTCACCAGGCAACAAGCAGATGCCAGGCTTGGATTTCTGGAAATCAGGATGCAATGGACGGCGTGGGGAGCAGTCTAGAGTTGAGCATCGAGGCTAGTCGGTCGTCGTTGGTCTATCTCCAAATGGCAAGCCATCTCCTCGACGAGAATAGCTTTTGGTACGTATGCTTATTGGCGCCCTCCATCCAGTCCGATGTTTGATCTTTGTCAATAAATCCCAAGACCTTGAAATGAATCACCCACTGATACCTTGCGTCTTCTAGGATGGTCCTCTACTACCCGATGTCGGCCCTCCTCACTCTCTTCTACGGCATTCTTCACCGACCTCTCGCGCCGCAATCTCACAAAGACCTTGAGCTATTGAGGAGCGTTCCATCCATGATTCGAAGAATCCCAATAAGTCGCTGGATGGAAAAAGCAGTTCGCCAGATCCAGGCTGTAGATGAATTGGTTGCAGAACTAACGACCCTCGGACAGAGCGCAATCGACAAAGCAACACGGGAAACGGAAACAAGACGAGACAATGGATCTTGCTCGGTAATTAGCCTTATAAACAAGAACTAGACTGGATTACAGGAGTACCAGGCGCCTTGCCCACATGCCGCCACCTTTATCGAGAGGCATTTTCTCTTTAGCTGTCCAGACTTGTGAGGGAATTCGATGATATTACATAGATACCGGCAACCTTTGCCATTGTAAAACATGTACCATTAAAAAATAGAGTTTAATGCACTGACGGAACATTGCTCCTCCGCCAGAAAGCAAGTTGTACGTCATGTGAACTACTATTGCTAGAAGCTATCACCCCCAACAATAGATGATGAGGAGATTAGCACCACGCTGAGCTATTGGGCGGGAGTTCTTGTTACCGATATGTGCTAGTTCACATTTTTGTATACCAGGCATGCAAATACTTAGTGATTTGCTGTGGTGGACAGTCTGTATCCTACCTATAATCTGTTGTATACTTCGCAGTGAACAGACTACGCCATCGGGGTGCGTCCACATGCTCTGCACGACCCAGTGCACCAACCACAATATGTCATTTCCTATACAACCGCGGATGCGATTCTCCATCTGCCCCATTTTGTCACTACTAGTGCCGTACCACCAGCGCAAAGGACCACAGTAAGTGTGTGTATGCCAGCACCTCGCATGAAACGGCAGTGGCTTGAGCAGGGAGGCTGTAACTCCCCACATTGTCTACGACATATTTTCCACGCTAGCATTCGAAGCTTCAAAGAGAGGGCTTTCCAACATCTTGCTACAAATGTTCCAGTGCTCCATGCGAGCGTTATGTAATTGGTACAGCGGTGATAGGGAAGCACACCAGGCTTGTATTTAATCGACAGCAAGACCGGTCGCCGTACTGAGGTTACACAAGCTGACCTTGGCTACGCAACGGATAGGGATAGCTGATCAATCTCGACTGCCACTGCTTCAAAAAAGGTGGTTTCTCAACCCGACTGGCCTTTTCACCCTTTGTAATCTTCACATCTACACAGCGATTGTGTCAAGTCTTTGTCTGGAGCATTTGCCCTTGCCTTTGGTTTTTGATCTTTTCCATCCCCCATGAAATATGATCACCATCTGTGCATGGTTGCAGACATGCAGTACATTTTACTCTCACCACGCCGATATCATCGCAAAGCTATCTTTCGTATTTATAGCACGGGCTCAGCATTTAGCAGAATGTATCCAGGACATATCTTTATACTCGATAAGTTGCTGATTCTCTTTCCATGCTTCAAATTCGGGGATATCTCCTTCCTATAACAAATCGCGAGATTCCCGCCCTCAAAGGTGACGCAAATCCACAGTTCCTATGATTGCAGCTACACTACCACTAAACACAAAGTAAGCAGCAGAAGCACCACTAGACGTACCAGTCGCAAATTCAATGAGGCCACTATAAATATCGATTACGTCCGTTGCTATACCAGACCACAAGGCCCTTCTGATTTCGTGCCTGCCGCCATCTGGCAGTTTGTTGTCTCCAGCAGTCAAAAGCAATACTCCTAGCACAAGATCCCTACCACCGAACATTCGGGTCAATGAACTATAAGCTGCTGGTACGTCCATCTCGACTGATAGCAGTACAAATCAGTTTTCAAGTCAAGAGGTCATCATGGAAGGTGCAACGTACATAACGTACCACCGAAGTGTGGCGCAACTAAGCAGGTTACTCCAAGTCCAATGCGCAGGACCGCAATAGCTTTGATAGCTGCGTTGGATATTGAGTTTACAGGTTCAGGCTCGTTGGCATGTTTCTCAGGAAGGAGTGGCTCTTTCTGCTTAGGAGTAGATGAATACATTGTTCACTCTGTTACTTGGGGTCAACAATCAGCTAGCCATATACAAAACCACCTACCAAAATTCGGGTCGATGACTGAATGTCGGAAAGGTAGAGGTGGGCTTGTGGTATGGCACCACGATAGAGGCAGCTGGGTTTTTATGAAATTTGGGTGCTTTACGTTATTAGAGAATATTGGTTTAAGTGATTCTAAAATGCGTACTGAGCCATCCAAGTGACGGTGCCAACACCTCCAGCGCCGAGAGGTCTATTACGATATGATAGCAACGATGCCTCTAGGCTGCAACCACAGGTCAACTCACCTCGTATTGCTCGCATTCCTCGCAAATGACATCTGATTTTCTTCCAGATACCGAACAGTATAGAGCAAATTTAGCGCCTCACTGTTCTCTTCTTAGGTTCTCCATCTGTCCGACCTTTCCGTCCTTACTGGCTGCAGCCTCGTATTCCAAGTGGCCGGAGAGATGGCTGGCCCCAAACCGGTTTACTAGTGCCTTCGCAGCATAACATTATGCTGCCCCACCAACCAGATCATCCTCTCGTGTCCAACCCAGACATCCTGCTTTTCAACGCTTTTCAGCAACTTGTCTGGTATTAGTACTGCTAGGGGATGACTTCAGCTATCATGCCTGCAGAGAAGAGGAGGAGGGCTGAGGCCCCAGCGATAGTGCCGGAGCGTGGCGACCCAGGTAGGTAGCTGAGCTTATACATCTGACCTGTGGACTGTCAATGCACGGAAAATAGAAATGTGTAGATTTTGGTATCTGTACATGGAACTAAAGTAATGGTTTTGATTGGTGTGCATTAAACTGCGAGCACGTGCCAATACTGATGGGGATGAAGATCGGAAACGAGCCCTTAATGTACTTGCGCAACGGAGATATCGTAAGAACCCCTGATCTCATGCCAGTCATCTCCAAGTGTACTACTGGATTCAAGTATAGGTCAAAGGCGCCGAGACAAGATTGCTTCCTTGGAAGCCCAAATAAACGCACAGAATGGCAGCCAATCTCCCATTAAGTTGCATCTCGCACCGCCTGTGGAGACTGCAGCAAACTCTGGACCTTTGACTATCAGCCCCGAGGATATATTAAGTTTTGAATAGCACAATATTTCCTCTTTCAATGATGCTATGTTATCGTTCGATGCCGTCGATGTTGGCTTTTCACTATCTAGCGACTGTGGTAGGATCGCATCTCTAACCCGACACCATCGATATCACTCATTACTGACCATCTCCAAGGTATCCATGCCCTAACTACACCAGAGGACTCTACTACAGCGGCATTACCAATATTCAGTACTCCTTCGTCATCCAACACCTCCGCAGACCCAGGATCCCAGCCCTCATCCTTCACCTTTCCACTGAACCCAGACGTAAATATCGACGTACCCATGATGGCCACCTTTTGAGCCTGTATGACAGCCGCATCCCTACTTGACATTTTTTCAGACGTTTTCAACCCTTTCGCACTGCACACATCACCGCCCACCCCGCACCCGTATCTCCCGCCCAATCTCCACCCTGTTCGCGCGCAAATCCTGATCCCGCACCATCCAGCCCTGGACGCGCTTCGCTGGCCTTCGGTACGCGAGAAGCTGATTTGTGTACTTAAGTCTTATTTTCCTCCCCTAATTCTTACCTCGTCCCCCTTTCTCCTCACCTGACGCTTAACCCATAACCCCTGACGCCTGACACCACCAACCAACCTCCCCTCCCCCCTGCGCCCCCCAATCGCACGCGGCACCCGCGACGAACCCATTCAGCGCCTCATACGCGACATTGACGACTATTCCCACGGGTGTCGCGTTCACGGCAACACCGCAGGCTGCTCCCCGCACCACGAGATGGCCGAGGAGAGCTGGGAGATAGGTTCCGCGTTTTATCGCAATTGGTGGTTTTGTATGGATAATAAGGTAATTTTGATGACGAATGCACGAAGGAGGGAGAGGGGAGAGACGCCGCTGAGTTTGGGTGGTATAGGAAGTGTATATAATTAATTCATGTAGTATTGTTCACGAGAAAGGTAACAAAAAACGCGCTCTCAAATGCAGCGCTAGAGAACGAAAGAAAGAGTGAAGAAGAAAGGCGATCTCCCTTCCCTCCTGGATTATCGTGACCAATAACCAAATTACTGATATAGGAAAGCACCACGCCTACTCAAGCATACAGCAGCAATGGCAAATTGATCAACATCATGAACATGAGCAAACCGCGCCAGGCGGCTGGGTCATATGTCGGACAAAGGTTTCGAAGAGCTTTGTGGAAGCATATAGAGAAATTCCTTTTTTTAAGAAAATTTATTTTACATATAACTCATTATGCTTTACACAAACGGTAGGACAATATGGCTTTTATGCTCACCACCGATGTGGACTTGATGTTTTCCGCGGTTCTTGACATGTTTATGGGACCCGAAATTGCTCACGCACCTATTGCGTCCACCTACCACAACTCTGATGCTCTCGCCAGCTTCAAACTCAATACCTGTAGCCCAGATACCAATATCTAAACGGACAACGTCGCCGGGAGTAATCTTTTCCTCTACTTCGTGAGGATGGAACGGCCAGTGCGGATGCATGCTCTTTGACTCGTCAATTGCGCGATGCGATGCTCTCAAGATGCCGCATGGACCTTTGTATACGACCACCTCTGTAGCTTCCTGCGGCTTGAACTCGCTGAATGATTTTACTGGAATGCCGCCCCAAGGGATGTTAAGGTTCATCATCTGATCGCCATTCTTGTCTAGTTTTTCGAGAGTAACGTAAACATCCATGTCGTCGTGATCCGGGCAAGACATGTATAGAACTGCTTTTGGAAGGCCCATGATTCGGGTTGTTTCCGGGAAAGTATGAGTGAAGGTGACGTAATCGTCTGTTTCGGAGTTGTAGCTCAAAGTATCGCTTGGGCCTGTATCGCCAAAGAGCAGCTTCTGGTCTTGACCAAGGTAAGCTTGGCGGTATTCAGTTCGAGCAGGGGGGAAGTCTTCTTCGACGATGTTCTCATATGCCTGGGGCTCTTTCTTTCCAAAGCGCAAGACAGCCATCCGGACTCGCGGCGTCTTTTCCCATCCATTATCGGCACCCTTGAGGAAATGATCGAAAAAGGAAAATAGTTCTTCTTTTGCCTGGCTGTTTCCCCATAAGTCGTACCATTCCTGCCATGGGTGCCATCTAAGCCATTTTTGAGGGGTGTCCACTTCGAGCCATCCTCTGATAGCGCCCATTCCGTGCATTGTATTCGTCCAGGTACCAGTAATGTATGTTGGTACGTTGATCTTCTTCATATCGGGCCTCTTATCGTTCCACCAGCGATTGGCCAATGGGTGCTTCTCAAACATCAACCTGAAGCTCTCTAGATTGCCGTTCCCGTGTAGCATGTGTTTGACAATGAGCTGATCGAAGAGGTCTCCGGCGTAAATTCCACCACGTGCGAATTGCTCGCGGTATAGATCTCCACAGCCTTCCCAAGGCGCAATCGCCTTAAGGCTCGGTGGACGTAGGGCAGCGATGAACCATTGTATAATTGCTAAGTGGGAGTTGCCAACGAGGCCGACTGAGCCATTGCACCACGGCAATTTCGCAATGTGCTCGATTGCGTCGTAACCATCCTCGGCTTCCTGTTGGCCCATAATAACCATGGTACCACCGCTATCACCAGCGCCTCGCGAATCGATGTTGACAATGGCGTACCCTTTAGGTACCCAGTCCGCTGGATCTGGAGCTTCAAACTTTTCCAGGCCAGAAAGAGCGTCTGTGGGAACACCAAGGTTCCACGGCGTCATGTATCGTAGAGAGTCGATGCCATTGAACTTTTTGCCGAACGGCCCCCAGCAAATGAGTGCTGGGACTTTGTGAGCAACGCCAGATTCAGGCTCCGTCGGCCTTAGAATGTCTGTATAAAGCGTAACGCCATCTCTTGCAGGAATGGCTACGTCATGTTCCACAAGGATATCGCACGGCAAAACCTTCGCTCCAGGGTGTGAAGGATGTTTCCAGCCCTTAGGAAGCACTTCTTTGCGCGGTTTTAGGCCTTCATAACCACCTTCACCAACTTGAGCTGGTGTAAGAGGCTCAATCGGGACTTCGATTCCAAAATTTGAGCTGGACTTATTCTGGTTGACAAGCATTGTGTTGGATGCCTAGCGATTAAGCTGTAGACAAGGAAAAGGATTTGAGAAGGAAATTATCCGACAAAGAAGAGGCATCCCACTTATTACATGTACACTGGCTCAAGAGATCGACGGATCCTCAAATCGGAATGCGGAGTGAGGTGTCATGTTCGACCGGGACTAACCTCCACATGTGCTTCCGAAAAGAAAGAGCTCCACGCTATCCAAACATCCACTTATCATGCTTGGATACTAACCCTAACAATGGTCTGGGAGGAACAAGTTTTGATGGGCAAGCGACTAGTCTGATGCTGGGGTACCCGCCATCGGCAACTCCTCTAACCCCACATCCTTCCACCTGCGGCTAGCGAAAGTAATGCGCAAATGGTATCCCGAACCGAACCGAGCCGAACCGATCAATGTTCCCCAACTGTGAGGGGTATCGATCGGTCATCATGTTCTCGTCAGCGGCAAACTTAGACTGAAACAAGCAGCTGCTAAGACGACCATATAAGACAAAAAGGCGAAGGTTATCACAGGAGACAGCAAGAGTACAGAGGCATTGTGCCACTATACCAACCACATACAAACCAATCTCGTGTCTATCTTCTTTGTTACCCGACACCGACACCATGTCAACCACTGTTCAAATTGCCGTGTCAGAAGCGCCTGTGGAGGTACCCAAATTCAAGCCTCAGCCATCAGGCCCTAGAAGACTATTCCGTCAAGAAGGGCTTGTGTATGGTGATTGGCGTGACGATATCATCCGAGATGGATATGTCGTGGTCAAAGGTGCCATCCCTCGTGATCGCGCGGATGGCTATGCTGAGGAGATGATGTCCTGGATTGAAAACTTGTAAGTAAATCTGCGCTTGGGATACTATGCGCAAAGCAGGTCCATCTTGGACACGGGCATGAGCTAATCGTACAATGTTTATTAGTGCTGGCGGGTTGGGGTTTAAACGCGATGACCCATCGACCGTTGTGGAATCGAAAATGCCTATAATCAACGAAAAGGGCATGTGTCTCGGATACGGTGTTGCACACGAAACCTTCGCTTGGTCAGTGCGCCAAGAGCCGGGAGTTGTTGGAGCATTTGAGAAGGCGTATGATACGAAAGACCTTATCGTTTCCTTTGATGGAGCAAACATGGCATTCCCAAACCGCAAAGACCTCAAGGAAAACAACCCCTGGCCACATCAGGATCAAGATCCCGAGAAGCCCGGTTTTCGCTGCCTTCAAGGACTGGTGAACTTGCTTCCAAATGGGGATAACGATGGCGGTCTTATCGTTTGCAAAGGCGCTCACCTCCTTAGCGAGGAGTTTCATGAGCAGTTCAAGGATGAGCCCAACAAGATTTGGGCTTGGACCAAAGAATGGTACGGCTTCACCAAGGAAGGAATGAAGTGGTTAGAGGACAAGGGCTGTGAGTGGGTGAAACTCAACGCCGAGCCTGGTGACCTTCTCCTCTGGGACAGCCGCACACCTCACTACAACCTTAGCCCAACAGGCGAGAGGCCACGTTTCTGCATCTATACATGCTACATGCCAGTGACCGAAGCTTCGGAAGAGGACCTGTTGCGAAAGAAGGACGCTTTCTACACGACTCAAAGCACTACTCATTGGCCCAATGCTATGCACGTAGGTGGGTTACCTATCATCCGCAACAACGAGCCCTGTCCCTATAATACAGGAAAGCCAAGGAAGCCAGTAGAACTATCAAAGCGAGGATTTGAACTGACAGGAATTCCATACATCGGGACATTGTCAGCCTGATCTCGAAGAGAGGGTTGGGTGGAAGCGACGCTTTTATGACAGGCTTGGACATTTTAGATTTCCAACTTTTATCGGGGCAAATTGAATTATAAGTAATAACAAAGTTAAGCTGCTCTGGTGTTGATATCTTATGGTTCGATAATGTGACTTTGCAACCAGCCATCCTTGCAGGAAAATTTCTTTGACATCAGCATAGAGCATTTTGACAATAGATTAACTTCGCTTCCTTTGTACCCCCATTCTCGTTTCTATACAGAAACTTGTTTTTTGGTCAAGTCGTCTACCAGCTCTTTTCTTACAATTTCAGTGCCAGACGTTAACAAGTGAGACTTTGTCTCATTCATTCAATCTCAATAACACCTACAGAGTTTTGCTATTTAATTTCACCGGGTGCTTGATTAAGTGATAAAGGAATTAAATCATGCTAAGAGTGGATGACAACAGATTTACGAAAAATCACCGCGCTGAGGCTGAGTGTCTCTACATACGCGGTTTGGAAAAAATATCTGGGCTAGGAAAGGGTCATATGAATACTTGGATTATCCAGAACAACCACTAAGCTATCTCGATTTCTCAGATTGGATAAGTCAAACACCTTACTTCGCTTCGGTAAGCCCTGGCCACAAGGTTCTGACAGCCCATTTGCGAATGCGAGGACCCAAAAAGTAGATCGGTATACCTAGAGCCATGAGGCCGCCGACGATACCAGCTAAGATATTCATGGCGCCATCATAACCAGTGGCCTTGATCGCTGGAACAGTAGAGTAGCTCAGACCAAAGGAGATGAACCCTCGACCGACACAGATAACCATCAATAAGGCACCCGCCTTCTGGGGAAAAGCATCAACCGCATAGGTGATACCAATCAGATTACCGGTCAAGAAACCCAGATAACACATGTGAAAGGGGGCTGCAATTCCCATCCAGTGATACTGGAAAGGATGAGCACCAGCCTGGCCATAGATAACACAGCCCAACACTGTTGTCACAGTTGGGATGATAAGGGACAAGAGTCGGAACTCAGGCTGATATGGGAAAAGAACCCAAGATGTTAGTGAAAACCCGATAATACAAACATGAAGATGACGGAAAATGATGTGAAAATGAGATAAAGGAGGCTGAACGTACCTTGAAGATGCCACCGCTTCTCTTACTCATCCATTTAGAGAAGCTATCAGTGCCATAGCCCAAGAGTGGGATTAGAACCATGACAACTGCAATTTGAAAAATCTGGACCCATCCTAGCACGTCAAAGGCAAACTTGTACGGCGGTTGTGTGAGAATGACAGCAAACGTAGAGGCCTGGTAGATGTAGACACCCAAGAAAGCACCGTTGAAGAGCAAAATCCAGAAAATAGTGGGGATAAAAAAGCCCTTTCCAGTGTCGACGTAGAAATCGGTCACTCTGGACCAGACAGGTTTGTGGTGGAAAAGCTTCAAGTTATGACGTAGAGAGCGTGGGCCGTAGATATCTGGTCGAAGTTCGCGTCTCTTGCCAGCCATGGGCTTCTCACCGGCTGAAGCGATTTCGCGTTCATCCTCTTTGCGTTCGTACATGGTCTCAACTATGAAGAAGATGGAAAGGATGAGTGTGGCGATGGTCAAGAAGGTGATGATGAGATACCACCACTTCAGGCCAAAGGGCGGAACAACGTATGCTGTCATGACAAACAAGACAGCCGTACCGACAGTTTGGACGCCAATGAACCACGACAACTTGCTGCTCCTCTCATGGAGAAAATGGATTTCTTCAACGATAAAAGGCGCAAGGGCCTCGCTTTGGCCTGCCGCCATGCTGAAGATGTTCCGGCCGGCAATGTGACTGGTGAGGGTGGTGGAATAAGCGCACCAAAAGCCAGTGATGATAAGAAGAAGCAGGGAAAAGAGGAAAATTGGCCGGCGACCAATTGTCAGTGTTAGAGGCATGGATATAAGGTTACCAATACCCATGAAGAGAGTTGGATAGGTGACGAGGTCGGTCACGCGGGCCGGATCATCGTTGGGGTAGGCCTTCATGACTGAGGGCATAACAGCACCAAGACCAGAGGTTCCGAGGACAGCAATAGCGCTGTATACTCCGACAAGGAAGATAATTAGAAACTTGTGCCAAGTTGGTAGATTTAGGGGATCTATAGCGAGAACGGAATGTCAGCGTGAAACGAAGAAGATTAACCGAACGCACTTGTAGGATCACGACTTGCTAAGTTGAGCGCGCAAGATGGAAAATGAGAGCATGTTCTCTAAGCTTACCTTTGGGATCACTGCTTGGGGTAGGGATGAGAACAATAGACCCATCTTGGAGAAGATCGATAGTTCCATAATCAGTAGTGGCCTGGTTACCAGGTTTGTCGCTTAAGCTTTCCACGAACTCAACCTGAGTCTTCGACTCGATATCCTCGAATTTACTCATGATCGCGCTCTTTTCCTCCAGATAAGCTGTCAGGGGGGCTGTGATAGACCGCGGAGGCACAATAAGGAACCAAGTGACAAATAGAATAGATAATAAACAGCCTCAAGGCACCCTTCTTGAATTGGTGCAGACGGCCTGTCTCCGTCGAACAAGTGTCTTGTCGACGATAGGACAAGCTGCTTTTAGGTCCACAGGGTGGCCATTTCAGATACGTATGACGACTTGGAGCTTTTGTACACAAATCGCAATCAACACTCCCCTCCACATCACGGTGAACCAAGCCAGAGCTAGCTAGAGCTAGCTGTGTCTGGATCTGATTGAATATGGGGTGCGGGGAAAATCTGGGGAATCATAGTCTTACTATGGTCTTATCAAGCGCTCCTGACTCGGTAAGTGTTTTATCTGTCAACTATGTCCCCGCCTTTCAGCCTGCAAACTACTAGTGTGGCGAGCCCGTTTGACTTGCCGAACCGAGGTAAGTACCCACTTACATGTCGCCTTCTTCCAACATCGTCTTGTGCATCGTCGGCATCACTTACTGTCACTCGGTTCGGTATCGCCATGCCCTCATCGGCAATGCGATCGCACAGTGCAGCCCACAATGAGCCTGCCGCAACAGCCGCGACCAACGCGACCGGCCCCCATCTTCTAACACCATCGCCCTCAACCTCAACTCGCAGCGACAACCCAGGAGCGTCGTCGAAGCGACGTCGGATCAACTTCGCCTGTGATTATTGTCGCTCGCGCAAGACTCGCTGCGATGAGGGCCAACCATCATGCCATGCTTGTTCAGCCGCCGGTATTCAGTGTGTCACCAGGAACCGCCGCCAACCATGGCTTGACGTTCGGCGGCATGAAGCTGGTAAAGCGCAGCATCGTAGTGAGATAGAAGAGGCGGCAAGGCAAGATCAGAATAATTCGAATTCAATTCCAAGGGGTGCAGTCGCGTCATCAGCAACACCAACACACGAAGATAGAAGAAATGCACCCGCTTCTCACCGAAGCCGGCGACAACAGGATCTTGAACACGAGACAATAACTGCTGAAGAAAACACTGCTTTTCCTAGTATCCAGGATCTGCCACAAGCAGGGAATGATGCCACCATCATCTCAAATCCGCCTTCGAGCTATCCCAGGCATCAAGCTCAAGGTACATCGACCCACCGCTCTAGCACTACACAGGGTGATGACGATAGACCCGATCTCAGATCTCGTTTACCCATCATACATTCCGACTCCGGGAACTCGTCTCTAGACTTCATGACCAGCTGGCTAGATCTTGCACGTCACCGTCTTCAGATCCCTCGATCAGGCTTTCGCCAAGCAGAGCAGTCCGACAGCGACCCAGCCAGTGACGCTGGAGCGACGCAAAAAGAGTCCGTATTGCCAAACTTTCTACAAGTGTGGAATTTTCCAGAGCAGGAATCCTTATCAGCCTTGGTTGACTGGTTTCTTGAGGGCCCAAATAACGTGTTTCCTGTCCTCGAGCCAGACAAAATCAGGCATGGAGCTCAGATGGCATATGCAAATGGTCCCCAATCTTTCACGCAACAGTACGGGCTCGCAGGGCTAATGCAGTTGTATCTCGTCATGATACTTGGCCGTAGCTCAAGGCCCAACAAAGATGTTAGCTTCGATGCTGAAGGATGTCTAGAGTATTCTCAGAGCCTTCTTGGGTTGATAATGCAACAGAGTACGCTTGATGCCCTTCGAGCCGTCATTCTTTTGTCTATGGCGCTGCGATGTCATGAAAACCTGGCTGCAGCTGGACATACAATGAGTCTAGCTGTCTCCATGGCTATCTCGCTGGGCTTGCCGAAACAATCGCCACACTTGCCGCCTGGAGAAGAAAGACGGAATGTTTGGATGAGTGTGTTTTCATTTGAGAAATTTCTCTCTTTTGAGCTCGGAAGAGCGTCACTCATCGTAGATGACTATCCGGACTTGCTACCCGACTCCAGTCTGCTAAGGGGCAGGGAGCATGGAATGGAAAATGGTGATTCAACATATCAGTCGCGGCAGCGGCTACAGCATCCCATCTGCGAGGTCGTTTTGAGTCTGGCTACGGTACTAAGCGATGTGGGCAGGTTATGCGTCCATGCTAGCAAGAAGGAGGACGACAAAGATGTTGACAATGTAACAGATTTGATAAGAGAAAAGGTCCGGACAATAGGCCTATCCTGCGTGAAATTGATGAGTTGGGCATCGGATGTTTGCCCGTCTAGTTACAGGTAAGTTTCTAGGTCTTCTTTTTTTACACTTGTTCTCATCACCATGCTCATAACCGCCACAATAATTTGGCTGCAATTTTTATATTTGAAGCTGATACTTCATACATTTATAAAGCCCAATTATGGATATATTGTTCAATTCCAAGACACATCCGTTTGCATCATTCATTGCAATGCAATATCACGTAGCGTAAGTACACTCACCCTTTCTCAATGGCAAGAATTCGGAATAGAAGACCATGTAATGCTGACATTGAATTGCACGGAAAGCATGATCATTGTAACTCGCAACAGTCTTCTCATTAGCGAGAAGGCCATTCGTCTCTCCGTCGATGTCATTGCAAAGGACGAACCATGGGAGTATGTCGTGCGGAATGGGCAGAGCCTAGCTGCTAATTCAGCACGCAAGATCTTACGCCTTTTCCTGGAATCATCGGAGAACCAGACATATCCTGTACTCCCGAGTCTTGCCGGTCCATTGCATGCTATGGGCGCTCTGGCTGTGTTCGTAGTGACCCGGCAAAACTCAAGGATGGCAAGCATGGACCGAGAGCTTCTAAAAGCTGTAGCGCTTGCAGCCAAGGATGCAAATACCTTGGGCAGAGTGAACAAAGAGCTCGAATTTGCATTCAACAAACTAAACACGTTCATGACAGCGGCTACGGGATCTCACAGGCATAATCGACCAAGGCCATCGCAGCGACCAGAAGCTGAAAATTCCACGCTTCCGCCAGAGCCCACCGCTAGAGATCCGACCCAAACCTCGGCATGGGATCCTCTGTGGCAAGTTCCAGCGAATATTGCTCCAATGGCTGATGGTAACGGGGAGCCTTTTAGCGTAATTCCAACTGGGCAGATGAGTAACTTTGAAAGTCACAACGATTTGGCCTGTTCAGACTGGTGGATTGAAGATAGCTCTCCAATGATCATGGATGAGCTTGGATGGAATTGGGCCAACTTCTCTCAGCTCTTAGGTGGCCGGGACATTGAGCCTCATATACAGCTATGAGACTTCGTGCAGTCGTTCAAACACGCTATTGGATTCTGCATTGTACCCACTTACAACGAAGCTATTTTGAGGAGTCATATCCTTACGCATGTACAATTAGTTCCCTCTGGTCTGGATTCAATTCCTCAAAGTACAATTAAAAAAAAAGATGCCGAACGGAAGCTCCACATCAAAGTGCATTGTTCCCGAGACCGGACATTGGACCCAACCGTTCACTATCGCAAAATCGCAACACAAAAAACAATCTATGCTAGTTTTCTGATGCTGGAAATTTAAACTCCTCTTTTTGGGCTTGCTGGTAACAGGCTTCTGACGTGTGTAACAGAGCCACAATTACCGACGCTGCTCATCAAGTCACGTGGCTCCGGAATTCAAACGTCAGCTTTGATACTCCTGCTAGCCCAGACGTCGGCTCCTAGTTCAGACGCCAATGTTCTTGCCTTGTTTCACTTCGGCATGTGGAGAGAGCTAGAGCGTCCAATGCTGAGGAACTTGCTGATCAATCGAAGACTGGAATGTAGTGGCAATAAAGCGTAGATGCGTCGGCTCGGGATCTTTCCAAGCTAGTAGTCATGCATCGGCAACTCGCTAGCGTCTCAGTCAATTGGCATCACACAATGCGCACGTTGGCTGTGGGTCTTATCTGGACCCGGCAATGTAGAAGCGATTGGGCTGCCTGAGAGAATGCGGAGTCGCGCTTGTTAGGGACGCCTGGCCTAGGCAATAAGGCCACCACGACCCAAACCCGAACCCGATCCATGGGCGACAAAAGGGAGATAGTGCAACTTGGTATGATTTGGTATGACAGAAAGCAGTCGTTGTTATAGAGACCGAATGGCCCTCCTGGCCTTACTGTCCTTTGGATTGTTCTTTTGATTCTCCCGGGTATTTGCCCTTAGTCGCTTTCGAACCAAAATTCTGGCAATCTTTTTATTCACCATTACTGTATTGAACTCATGGCACGCGACACCAAGTTTGATGTCGGGGTGGCGGTGATTGGTGGCGGGCCTGCCGGCATGGCAATAGCGCTTGGATGCATCAAAGCCGGCATCGATGTCAAGGTGTATGAACGATATCCCTATGCCAGGCCAGCAGGCAACATTCTCAACCTATGGCCACCGGCTATACATGCCCTCAAGTGCATGGGCGTGGATACGACTGACCTCGGAGCTGCCTCGCCTGCAACCACGTTCCGGAATCCCAGTGGACATGTACGTGCTACGGTACGGCTGGCGGATGATGTCGTGGAGAAATACGACGGTGGCTTTCTTGGGCTTTTGCGACCAGATCTCTACAAGCGGATGCTCTCAGCCATCCCTGAGGGCATCATGGAGTTCAACAAATCAGTGACTGCATTCGAAGACACTGGCGACTGTGTTCGGATGACGTTGGGCGACGGTACTGTCATCAAAGCAGCTGTCGTCATTGGCGCCGATGGCATCGACTCTTCTGTCCGCACTCACCTCTGGGGACAAAGTCCGCGAAGAAACCATGACCTCCACGTTATCGGCGGCTTCACCTTTGACGCCGCCGATGGAGTCATCCCCGACGAATGCGTCATTACCCACGACCCCCAAGTCCAGGGAACATACGGACCTCTTCTAAGCCAGGGCCGCAAAGGCCTCCAGTGGTGGTTCGTCGAGGCATGGTCCGACGACAAGCCCGTAGAAGAAAACCTCAAAAGCCGCGCTCAGATGCTGTCGAAACGATTCCCTGGGCCCCTTGGTGACCTAGTCAACAGCACCGCCCCAGAAGACGTCGTCATGTGGCCAATCCGCGACAGAGTGCCACTCAAGAAATGGTCAAAGGGCCGCATGAGTCTTGCCGGAGATGCAGCCCACGCTACGTCGCCCTACGCTGCTTACGGCGCGGGAATGTCCATCTCAGACGGCTATTTCATCGCGCAAAGTCTATACAGGATGGACCTCTCCGACACAAATGCGGTTGCAAATGCGCTGGAGCGTTATGAGGGATATCAGCTGGCACACACGACGCATATGGTCGAATCGGCGTATTTTGTAGGCAGACTCTTCCATCACGTTCCTTTTCCACTGAATTATCTGCGCAATCTGGTTTTGGACTGGACGCCCATGTTGCAGCGGGAAGTGGGTGATAAGAATCCCGAGGAGATTACTGGGCAGTTGAGGTTGATGGGTAGGGATATCACTGTCTAGAGTGCGGGACGCTCGAAATTTCTGAAAGTCACTTGTTGGACACACTGGTACACGGGTTATGGCGCAGGTTAGGGTTGGGGTAGAGAGAGAGAGAGATCTGGGCTTGATCCACGAGTACGATTTCAAGCCATCATTTCATATGCAGGGGTGACAGTATTTCATCACTCATCCATAATTCGAGTTCAGTTAAAGTTCAAATACATCTTTCGTTACTTATCTAATATGGAAATAGCTCCCCATTGGCCTCCATACATATAGTGATTCCTTCACGATCTGGATCCTCGATTGAAACCAATATCTTGAACTCGGCTCAGAGTTTGTCTTGTATGGCTCTCTGGCGACTGTGGTACGTTTAGAGGAAGCAGTTTTGTAAGATGGGCCACCCTATTCCTCACGCTTGAAGGGAGCGGTCTTGTGAGGGGGGCTGGCCTCGCGTTTGAAAGGTGCGGTCTTGTGGGGTGGGCTAGCCTCACGCGCCTTGAACGGAGCAGTCTTGTGAGGGGGGCTAGGGTCCCTCTTAAAGGGGGCAGTCTTATGGGGAGGACTAGCCTCGCGCTCCTTAAACGGAGCAGTCTTGTGTGGAGGGCTGGCCTCGCGTTTGAAAGGCGCAGTCTTGTGAGGGGGGCTTGCTTCACGCTCCTTGAAAGGAGCAGTCTTGTGGGGTGGGCTAGCCTCACGCGCCTTGAATGGCGCCGTCTTGTGAGGAGGACTAGCCTCACGCGCCGTCTTGTGAGGAGGACTAGCCTCGCGCTCCTTGAAAGGGGCGGTCTTGTGGGGAGGGCTACGCTTCCAAGGGGCGTCGACGGCGTCCTTCTTGAACGGGGCAGTCTTGTGCGGAGGACTGCGCTTGAATGGCGCAGTCTTGTGTGGTGGGCTTGCTTCGCGCTCCTTGAACGGAGCAGTCTTATGAGGAGGACTGGCCTCACGCACCGTCTTGTGGGGAGGGCTGGCCTCGCGGACGGCGACCTCAGCGAGGACAGCAGGAGCTGGGATGGCAGCAGCCGAAACCGCGCCCGCCAGAAGGGGGAGAAAGACGATGCTGGAGAGCTTCATGGTGAGGGTGGAAGGTGGAGTAGATGGCCCTTCGGTGAGTTGTGCTGAGCGAGAATGGAAAGAGGTAGAAGAGGAGGCTAGTTGTGAGTTGTGAGTCTTCTAACAGGGCGTTCGAGTTGAATATATATACTTCTCTTTGTACCCATATTCTTATTTCCGGCTGGACAGGATGATGGTAACATCTACGCTACTGATCCTAGCGTCTGTACCTACTGCCTTCGTATTGGCTATTTTGCTCAGCGTTCCGGATGAAGCTGATTACTCGACTTGCAGCTACTCTCGATCAAGGGTGATGACAACATCCGTGCTGATGCAGAGGGCATAAACGTCGTTGTGTCACTCAACATGTTCGATCTTCCTGCTCACACCATGGTAGGGGATTTTTAGGCGATATGTATAACGATGACTGGCTTTGATCAAATTCCATATTCCAGTGCTATGAGGTGTTTGTTGGTCTACATGACCATGTACATCCAGCCATGCCAGAAGGCTACGCAGCACTATACAAACTGGCATACGAGAGGTTTCCTATACCGCTTCTCGTACCTGATGAGCACCTTCTTAAAGCGGATAATTACTACGGTGAGTTATATGCGTGGCTAGTGTTCAGGCATCCTGCGCGATTTCGGAGGCTACAAAATCCCTTTAGGCATTCGCTCTCATGATCAGTGGTGTGGGGCCCCGATCCCTCCGGGAATATCGTGCTGACAGTTGTCACTCAGCCTCACACATTCTCCTACCTTAAAAAGCTTAGTTTTGACGGATGAGTTGACGGCATTGTAGGCTGAGCCTCCCACTTCCAACGTCCAGCTGCCTCAGCCTCATATCGGGCCGGCGAACGGGCGAGGTGGTGGAATGGGGAGTTTGGTAGACGATGCACATTTAACCGGGTTCAACGGTACTAGTGGCTAGTAACCAGCTGATTGCAAGGGGGCATCATTACAGCGCAACCTAATCGTCAGCGTGCCTGGTCAGCACAGATTAGCGCGATCTTCTTCTATGCTGCAAAAGTCGTTGTTTACTATACAACGCGGCCTGAGGGCGGGTAGCGTCCTTCTGTTTTTCGCCTAGATTCATGCAAGGGATAACATGAATCAGCCTCACTAACATTCCGCTTGCAGCGTGAGATTCGTAACTGGAATTTCGATGGCCACTATGAAAACCCAAACGTTATGGCGACTTGCAGCGGGGTACAATAATAGAATACTACTAGTCCGTAAGCGTCTGCAACGAACTTGGGCATTCGATAACATGATACTACTATAATCACTAAACCGGCTAGTAGCAAAGTACATCTCGGCTGTCCATCGCCTTCTTCTAGACCCATCTTCTTCTCCTTTTCTCTCCTCCTATCATGCCCTCACTCCCTCTCAGCGCCATCCTCATCCTCTTAATCGTCACATGGTCCCAAGCCTCTCCAGCCCCATGGCAATGCAGACCCGGTCTAGCTGACCTAAACACCATCTACCCTGATCTCGCCCCCAATCTGCAAGAGAACAGGACTATCGGGGAGGGCACAGATGGACAAGTCTTGTTCTCTACCTCATCTGCCACAGCGCTGAAGCGCTTCTTCCCAGAGTCCACCTCTGCGGACAGGATACATGACGAATACTGGATTGGCCGCACGCTTGTGCATCCCAACATCGTGGCGACGCACTCGCTAAACTATGTCGGGTCGGATACGCGAGGCTACTGGGAGATGGAAATGGAATACGTTCCTTTTGCCCTACTTGACCTTCTCGACTACGACCGATGGGCCGAGCGGCCATGGTCCTTCGACGCCATCAGTTGCTTGTTCGCGCAAATAATTGACGCCGTTGCCCACATGCATGAAAACGGGATTGCGCATCGCGATCTCAAGGTCGAAAACATCATGGTGGCGCGGGACGGCACGGTCAAAGTGATTGATTTTGGCAGCGCGGCAGTGTCGCGGAACTTGCTCACCGGCGCACGAATCGGCAGCTGGGCTAATTGGATCGGGACACCAATTACCATGGCGCCAGAGGTTCATGGGGAGCGCTTCTTCGATATGGAGAAGGCGGATGTGTGGTCGCTTGCTGTAGTGTTTGTGAGGTTGTGGTTGGGCGTCTATCCTTGGGAACCAGAAATGATACTAGGAGGGCTGGAAGAAAACGAAGCGTTTGGTGTTTACGCGGAGGAAACTAGGGATAAGAGAGTGTGTGGTGAGGCTGAAGACGAGGATCGATTGCTGTGCCAGATACCGCTTGAGAAGGCGAGACTTGTGATTGCCGCGATGCTGGAGCTTGATCCGATGCGGAGGAGCACTTTGCCAGTGGTCCTGAACAGCGATTGGCTTGGAGAGACATTCAATCAAATGCTCCGCAACAAGTCTGCGTCTACCTAATGTGTCGTGCAACTCAACCATGAAGAGTTCGTCTTCCAGGGATCACATCATTGTACACAGGGGTGACATGGGAAAAAAAAAGTGTTACTAAAAGTTCTTATTTTTAAACTGGTATATTTAGCTGAATATTAAAGCAAGAAAACTCTAGTATTTTCTACATTAGGTTAGCACCTGCTTAATGTTAAGAGTATAGCTC